GGTTGAGATCATAGACAAGGAACACCATTGGAAAATGAGTAAACTTAAGGAATCAGCACATATGCTAGGCCACAAAAATCTCCTGAGCCGACCAAGCATAGAAATAAATACAATATGGGAACCAGTAATAAGGAGTGCCAGAGAAAAGCAATGATAACAAAGTTGCAATATGAGCTCTGGTAAAAGCATGTATTGATAACAGCAAAATTGCAATATGAGCACTGGTAAAAATGGTTGCTGAAAACATTAGGTTTATAATACCCAGAAATTCATACCCAGATATCCTCAAGTGGATAAAGGCGTTGGTTAGATCCAGTGACAGACCCAAAGAGTGTGAGTTCAATACCCGGTTAAGGCAGTGGAGAACTTTCAGAGGGAAAATTAGCAGGAGATAACTGATAACTGACATCCATCAAACATGGCACGTGGAACTAGAACAGTCTATCCCAGTGATCGAAATAAAGGGTTCAGCTCGAAATTCCAACCACCTGAAGAAGGCCGGAGCGTACAACGACCGAAACGTTGTGATAAATATAGCGACAAAGATGAGGACAATAGTCCGAATAATGTAAATACTGTACATAATACCTCATCTCAGAAATATAGACTAATTCTATTTCCCATATTGGAATTCCCCGCCCACTAGAAGATTTTATATTAATTATAATTCATAAATTTCCTCTACTTAGAACATCTCCCTAAATCTCTTTCCATTAATCCCTTATATCTCTTTATCGATATATTTTAAATTTATTTTCGGGTTCATTTTTTATTTCATTTTAATTTTAAATTAAAAAATTATTTTTTTTCCAAATACTTTCAGTTTATAGTCATAATGTTAATATTCTTTTATTTAATAAAACTTCTACCCTTGAAGAAATATATATATCACCCTCCCTGACCGCTGCTTTGTGCCTATCGTCTGATTGAAAGATTTTAAAAGTGAAAAGTCTATATTAGTTGTTTTAGGTAAGTTGGATTTTAGGTTGACATTTTAGCTTTCAATGTTGCTTCCTCATAGTTAACTGTTACTTCCAGCCTCCTCTAAATTTATAGACATAAGCTTCATTCCTTACAGGTATTGAAAAGACAGACGACCTCTATCTCCGTCAACCGAAATAGCCTATTCCCCATATCACTATATCGATACACAACACATCTATTTTTATATGTTTTTTTTCACTCCCTCTTTTCATATTATCATTAGCTTTATTTTTAGTATTATTTTTATTTTTTCCGCACCCCCATTATCTAACAAGGATTTTCCTGAAATAATTCTTTCCCCCCTTTTTTCTAATATTTCTTTCCTCTCTATCTTTTTTCTTTTTCTCTTTCATTTTACAAAACAAAATCTTTCAGCACTAATACCGCCCCACTCCTGGTCTACAATCCTTTTTTCTCCTATGTTCTCTGACCGCCATCACAATTTTTAAATCTAAGGTTATTTTCACATTAAGTTTCGCACAGTGACAAATCAAACAGGGAAAGGATTTTTTCCTAATAATTTCAACTACAAACGAACTCTACCCAAAAATCAGCTGTTGTGTAGTTTCCACCGTTCCTCGTTTTATTTCTTGCATCCGCTGATGAAAAACACAGTCGTGTTCGAAACTTCCGAACTTGGAACCTCAGTCTCCCTGCTTCATTTTTGTCACCTTGTTAATAACAATAATAAATGTTTTTTCATGCTGATTTCATCGGTACCCTTTCATTTGAGTTTGCTTTATTGACCAACTTACCTACTCTACTTATATATATATATATATATATATATATATATATATATATATATATATATATATATATTTAAATTCGGTGAATGAAAAAAGATATCCCAATTTCCAAACAAGTTGGAATCAGAAGGAAAAAAAAAATGTAAAAAGAAAAGAACCAGAAACATCCGAACAGACAAAAAAATATCGTGCAGTTCCTTAAATTTCTGGTACAAAGAAAAAAAAAAAAATCCCGCGAGTAATAAATTAAAACGAAGATTGCCCAATACACTAAGCAGAGCAAAGGTAAAATAAATAATGAGCCAGGTATTACTTACCTAACCTGATGATCCCATGTGGTAAACCTAGGTAGGTTGTAACTGGCTCATTACTATTTACACACACACACACACACACACACACACACACACACACACACACACACACATATATATATATATATATATATATATATATATATATATATAATAGAAAAGTTCATAGAGTTAAATTTGACCAGTAGTATTAAAAAGGCGCCCAATCCAAACATGAAAAGATAAAAAAAAAATAACATATTCATAAAATTTTGAGACACTAAAAATGTTTTTGCTTCTGCTTCCTTTTTGAAAACTGAAATCTTTACATTTATCTTGATAAAGTTCATCAAAAGAAGAAACTTGTCGGAAATAAATCATTTTCCTTTGTCTTTATTCAGAGCCTCTTTACAATTTTTTTTTTATTTAAACTGCATTTTTACATTTTGTCAATATGAAAAACAAAAACTTATATACATACAGTTAATGAGAAAATACAAAGAACTGTATAATAAAAACAGTCTGATGAAAAGTTGGACTTATTTGTACCTATATTTCTGGCACATTATTTCTTTCACAGACAAAAAACCTCAAATAATGTTAATTCCCTGCTCGATTTAATACAACAGCACAGTGTTTGTAACCCATCTCTCTGCTGGTTGGTCCGATGATCATATTGCTGCAATTGGTCGTTAAGTTGGACACTTTAACCCAGACAAGTAATGATCGCAAAAGAGTGAAACCCAGGGTCACAAACTCATATCCATACAACAGAATATGTTAACTCTATCACGGATATTGAGCGTTTTACAATAAGTACTGCGCATTTAAAATAAAATTATCTATCTATCTATCTATCTATCTATCTATATATATATATATATATATATATATATATATATATAGTTAGTTAGTTTATGCAAAACTAGGTAATCCGTATGGGTAGACCCAAGGAGGATGATATCCGGAGAGCTCAATGTAAAATACGTTAAGATTCCATGTAATAAGACATACTACTAAATAGACATAATGAACTAGTTTTTAAATGCCGACACAAAAACAACCTAAACCTAAGTAAGTACACAAAGAAATAATCATATAGGAACAGCAATTTTGAATGTTTTATATTCCCTTTTGTTTTTAGAAATATTACTATACACACGTGAACGCTAACACATGACTGTATGTATACAACTATGATAATGTATTTGCACACTGAGACACCTGTTGATATGTACATGTATATGTTTTTATACGGAAAAAGAAGCATACCGGTTTTTTTTTTTTTTTTTTTTTTTTGTGAGTGTGGAGATGTACAATTAGTTAGGTACTTATATGTTTTGCCATAAATATGAAAGATCGGGTAATATTATAGGTGTAAAAACATAGATAATATAATTAAATACTGAGATAGTCTTCGAACGCAGGCATAAGTGGATGCACAAGTGGACATGAGAATAGGGACAAATACGTGGGTAGATATATGTAAGTGCAAATTAACGCATATGTGGGTATGTAGATATTCTGCAGATTGCGTATGCATATGTGTGTGTATGTATATATATGTATGTACGTATGCATATATGGGTGTGTGTATGTATGTGTATATGTGTATACGTATGGATGTGTAGATATATGTATGTGCGTATGAGTATATATGGATATGCAGATGTCCTTGTGTGTATATGTATAAGTATACATGGAGATAGGTATGGAGACATGTGGATGTGCGTTTTCTCTGCAGGTGTATATGTGTAATAATGGAAATATACATATACCGTTCCGTGTGAATGTGTGTGTAGGTGCGTATAGGAACTCATAGGCATATAAGACGATATAGGTATGTGGTTACAAATAGGGGTTTAAGGCATGTGTAGATAAGAAAATGTAAAAGAAGGGCCTAATTTTCTGCTAGTGGCATCTCTTCCAAATTTCTCCTCTAATATTCTCCAATTGGAAGTGAATTCTAAATAGCACGAAGGGAAAGTTTTAGACTAGTATTTTAATGGAGATTGAAAGATACTACCCCAATGGGGAAAATAAAATAATAACTGTTGATAATTGGATGCATAAAAACAACCACGAGTTTACTTAATGAACAAAAATCAAAACAATCACGAGTTAACTAAATGAACAAAAATCAAACGAATAAATGCTAACCTAACAAGCTATAAGATAAAAGTTTTAGTGGAAAATGTACTAAATATAAATTGGATTACTCTTTCAATGTTCTGTCTATGGATTTTTCCAATCGACTGCTTCATAGAAAATACCCAAAACTCCACCGAATTTCAAATTAATTTCTTCGTAGATTGTTTTTAAAATTTAGATATTTATCAAAACTTAACCTCCCAAATATGCACGTTAAAGTAACGCGAACTGACAGCGTCTAAGAATTTGAATGAAACCTGTCGTGTAATTTATTGGGGTTATTGTAACGTCTTCCTTAATGTAGTCCTTATCGCTCACCCCTTAACCACCTTTATCTAGAGACGAGACGCGTTAGATTTGAGCAACATCCAGCCGACACACTGGGGTTAAAATAGGAAACTAAAATGATACATATGACACACTCATATCCTCTCTCCCACCTCACTTCCTCATTTCGTTAACTTTGCGTATACTTGATGAGGTCCGTAAAAAACGTGTGAATTTCTTTTCATTTTTCATTTCAGCTTTTGGAAGTAAAGTCTGATGATCCAGAACCCTGTTAAAGGGGTTATGGTGAAATAGCTTATTACATGGAATCTTAAAGTGGTCTGTCTTTTATTCAATATATATATATATATATATATATATATATATATATATATATATATATATATATATATATATATATATTAACTCTGGCTTACGTTAAAGGGTTCTTTGAAGATATAGACAAATGAGGGCATATCTTAAACTCTTTCCTCACGCTCAGTTGAGACACGTACGCCAATGCAGATTGCATGAAATTGTTTGCAAAGCGAGAGAGAGAGAGAGAGAGAGAAAGAGAGAGAGAGGTAAAGAGAGAGGCAAGTATGCAGATACAGAGCTATGTGGGTGTGACCCTATTTTTTTCAATGGTTGGGGTTTAAATATTTACACTGTTCCTCTGACCACGTTTTTGTAAACATGTCTTGGCAAGTTTTTGATCTGATCCACTTGTCTTGCTTGATCGAAATGTTTGTATGTATATAAATATATATGTATGTATGTATGTATGTTCGTGTGTATATAAATATATATGTGTTTGTGTTGATAATATATATATATATATATATATATATATATATATATATATATATATATATATATATATATATATATATGTATGTATGTATAAGCAGGTTTTTATTATTGTCACACCATGTCAGAATAGATTTAAGGACAAGGAACATAATTTTATTATTAAAATAGATACAAAAGTATCACGTTAAAGATTAAGATTTTAGGGACCTTTCGGTTGACCCTTCTTCAGAAACAAGATCGTCGGTTATATAATAAGAAATTGGCTGATTAATTTTTTTTCTTTTTTAGCAACAACTGATAATAAGAAATAAATTCGCCCCTCTCTCATCGTTCCATGTTTTCTCTCTTGCTTCTCTCCCCCCACTCTTTCTCTCATCTATAACACGTAATGAAACACTTGCATCTAGGGGCGTGATTATTCTCGTCCAATGAAATGCCTTGTATTCCGATGACGTCATCCGTGCGGCCGACGCCCTTTGCAGTTTGCTTTCAGAAAATTCAACAGACAAGACGTGTTTTATTTTCGTCTCGCTTCTTTTCATCCCAAAAGTGAAAATCAAAATCAAATGTAAGTAAGAATTTTCTTATCATTTCTCCAAATCATTCAACCTTCTTCTTAAATGTTTCCATCAACACAACAAAACCTTTTTCTTCCTTTTCTTTTTAATTATTTCACCTCAAGGAAGGCAAGAAAGCCACTACGATGCAAAGGACGCGGTTTCTAAGTCTAAAAAAAAAAATCACTTTATTAAATACATTATTTTTCTTTTCTCTCCCCAAAAAATTGAATTTAATTTCGAAAACTTTTTTCTTTTTTAATCGAAAAATGTTCGTCTGACTCGTTGTCTTCAACTTTTTGATTTGTTATTGAATAATGCAGACGATAAGTTATTTTGTCCCCGAATTTCCTTATCTGCTTGTGAAATACTTGGAAACCCTTCCGAAAATTCGGTCAGTCTATTCGTATCTATCGGTCTATCTATCGGTCTTTCTCTTTGTTTCTTTAAAAGCAAAGAAAAGAAAAAAAAAAAATCCCCCTCTTCCTCTCTCTTTCTCTCTCTCATGATTCGAAATCATTTTTATCATTTCTTGACCATTTTCTTTTTCAAAGAAAAATTCTTGTCTGACTCGTTCTCTTTGTTTTCTTCTTTTTCTTCTTCATTTCTTATTGAACAAAAGAAAGAAGATGATAAGTTTTTTGTTCACCACCCTCCCCGATTTCCTATCTACTTCCTTAATGTTTGTTGTAAGGTTATAAAAGCAAAACGAGGTACTATAAAGTGGTCCGCTTGTTAAAAAAAATAAAAAAATAGGCAAAATTTATTATTAAAAAATCTGTTCATTAAAGTCATAATATATCGGTTAGTGCTTTCATTAACGAAAATTTTGGTTAGTTTATCTATCTATCTATCTATCTATCTATCTATCTATCTTAAATCTTTCATCTATCATCTTTCTTCTATTTTTATCTATCTATCTATCTATCTATCTATCTATTTCATTTTCTATCTAAAAAAAAAATCATCTTTCTAATCTATTCCCCGAAAAATTTAATTTAATTTCGAAAATTTTTTTTTTCTTTTTAATCGAAAAATGTTCGTCTGACTCGTTGTCTTCAACTTTTGATTTGTTATTGAATAATGCAGACGATAAGTTATTTTGTCCCCGAATTTCCTCCTGCTTGTGAAATATTTGGAAACCTTCCGAAAATTTCCTTCTCTCTTCTCTCGGTTCATTCTCTTCGGTCTATCTCTTTGTTTCTTTTTAAAAAAAAAAGAAATCCCCTTCCTCCTCTTTCTCTCTCATGATTATCTCATTTTTATCATTTCTTGACCATTTTCTTTTATCAAAGAAAATCCTGAATAGGGTGTTTTCTTTTTTTATTCTTCATTTTTACCAATGACGATAAGTTTTTTTTTCCTTCCTATCTACTTCTCCTGTTGTAAGGTTATAAAATCAAAACGAGGTACCCCCGTTTGTTAAAAAATAAAAAAAGACAAAAAAATCTGTTCAGTCAAAGTTCTTTCATTAACGAAAATTTTGATTATTCATTTTCTATTATTATCTTTTATCCTATCTATTATTTTCTATCTATCTATCTATCTATCTATCTAGATCTATCTATCTATCTATCTATCTAACGTTTTCTTAATATTTATCTATTATCTTATCTATCTATCTCTCTCTATCTCTCTCTCTATCTATTTTGGTTTATCTATCGATCCATTTAAAATGTCTGTTTATTTAAAAGTCTTCATAAGCTCCCCTTCAAAAACTCCCCCTCTGTCTCCCCCATTGTTATCTCAACCTTTTCATATCTGAATAGGGTGTGATTATTCTCGTCCAATGAAATGCCTTCTTTCTCCCCTTCACAAATGCCTTTCCTGTTTTTATCTGAAGCTTATCTTATTTTCCAATCTATCTATCTATTTTATTCATATTGAGAGAAGAACTATTATCTCCCCCTTCTCTCTCTCTCTCTCTCTCTCATGTTGGTTTATCTATCGATCCATTTATCTATCTTATCTATCCCCTCTGTCTATCTATTTCCTATCTATCCCTATCTATCTATCTCTCTCTTCCTCCATCTTCTATCTATCTATCTATCTATCTATCTATCTATCTATCTATCTATCTATCTATCTATCTATCTCAGTCCTTTTCATATCTATCTATCTATCTATCTATCTATCTATCTGACTGGAAATCTGAAACTGAATTTTTTAGTTTGGAATCAAATCTAAAATAAAAGCTTCAAGAAAGATTCTTCATTTTTCAAAATTCATTTTAAACCTAAGGTAAAATTTTGAGGTAAAAGTCCAGTAAATGTGCCCCAAAATGAGGGATCGATTTTACCCTGTGTCGATCTGATTATAAAAGAAACGGGAAAAAGTCAATCATTTACGGTATTTTTATGAATGGACCATTTTATTTAAGTAGTGCTTAATTTTTCTCGCTTCTATTGGCCTCGTGCCATACTAGGCTATGATTAGCGAAGAAGATAAAAACAAACTTATAAATTGGTAATAAAAAATATCTTCATTTTGTACGTGTCTTTTTCAAAGAAATTTAAAAAATAATTGGAAGAAATATTCAAATTGTAAAATAATACAATTGATGAAAAGAGAATGTGAAATGTGACTGTGAAGGCGGGAAATTGGACCCCCCTCTCTCTCTCTGTTTCTTTTACCCTTTCTTTCCTCCCCTTTATCGCATTGCTCTTCTTTTCCTCTCTTTCATTGATAACCACTCTCTCCGTACCCCACTCTCTCATTATTTCATTCGCCCCCACAACTCTTCTCCTCCCCTTCATTTACTTATGATTTTAGAATAAAACAATTTTCTTTCCGGAAATGGATTTGTTTTTCTTGTAAAATCTCGAAATTTCGGGTCATTTTACTTCCGGTTTTATAAATTAACTTTTTTTTGTCTTTATCTGATTTTGATCTTGACCTTTTTTTTTTTTTTTCAGATTTGATTTTTTATATTCAGAAAAATTTTTCCAAATGGCGTCCAATGTAAATGAAGAAGAGACATTCCAATGCTCGAAATGCGACAAATTCTTGAACTTAGCATCGAAGACGTTGCCATGTCTTCATTCTTTCTGTGGGTCGTGCGTGAAGATGATTCTTGAAGGAAATGGCCTGTGTCCCCAGTGCCAAAAGCCTGCGACCGATAAAGAGTTGAGACTGGCACCATTTTTGGTAAAATCTTTGAGGCGCCGTCAGCTGGAATCCCGCCAACTGAATTGTGATACGTGTTCGGAAGACGGCATGGAATCGTCCTACCAATTTTGGTGCCAGGACTGTCAGAAAGTCTTGTGCCAGACTTGCGAGAGTGTCCACCACAAACACGAGACCAAAGACTTGTCGGGCGTGTCGAGGGAGGAGGTCATCCGGGTCATCACGATGGAGGACTGTCGACGGCACCGCAAATCCAAGGACGTCTTTTGCAACCGGTGCAACGTGTGCATGTGTGTCGCGTGTTACACTGATCACGTGACCGCCTCCCCTCAGTGTCCGTCTCGTCCTCTGTCGGTGAGGGAGGAGGCGTTGAAGGGGAAAAAGGATGGAGGCCCCACCCTAGAGCGGGAACTCCGCCAGTTCGAAATCAACATCCGGGCGAACTACGCGCAGACGGATCGATCCATTGACCAACTATCAAAGGATTGCGAATCTGAATGCTCCAAACTCTTGAAGGATTTTGAGACATTCGTTGAAGAGGCACGGCTCAAGTTGATAGAGCTGTTCGATAATATGAGAGTGATGGCGTCCGAACTGCAGAGAAAATGGCGCCACTCCCTGAAGGAGAGAAAAGATCTTTTGGGGAAGGTCAAGATCTGGCAGCAAACCTTGGACCATTTGTTGACGGACGACGCCGACGATGAGGACGTCGTTTGTGGATTGAGGTTGGTGGGAGCTGAGCTTTCTGCGTGGCTCCACCAATCGTTTGCTCCACCCGATAAAGGTCATTGGGTCGTGACCTTTCCCAAATGGTGTCACGATTCCCTAGAGTCACTGAAGAAAGAAATAATCGATTGGACGGCAGAGACGTCCGGGCATTTACAACTGGAAAAAGAATGCCGTCTGCAAGGATCGAACCCGTCGTGGATTTCCTCGATTGTCACCAGCGACAAAGACAATCACGTCTTTGTTGGCGATGGGGACGGCGAATCGATCCTAGAATTTGGTGACTCTGGAGAATTGGTCGACCAATGTCCCTTAACGGACGGCGAAGAGAGATACTACCCCCTGGACATTTGTCGCCCCACCGAAGACATTTTGATTGTTTGTTGTTCTGGCGGGTCGAGGGGGGGAAGAATTTTCTTTTTGGCACGACAAAAATCTCCGCCATTTTTAAAAACGCAAAGAATTATTGACACAAAAGAAAAGGAATTTTTTTCTTTGTGTCAAATTCAGGAAAATATTTTCGCGTGTGATTGGAATTTTCAAGAAATTGTTTGTTTTAATGAAAATGGAGTCAAGATAAAAACAATCCACCCTCGGGGGGCGCTAAGGATGGATGGTTACCCCCTCCTTCGTGTCGATCCGACGACTGGGAATTTGTGGGGGACAAGAGAGGGCGATTCAAGAATCATTGTCTGGAATGAAAATGGAGAAATTCTTCAAAAATTGGAAATAAAAGAAGAAATTTCTGATTTTTGTGCAAATAATTTTAGAAATTTTTATTTTTCGACCCAAGAAGGAATTTTTTCTCTTTTACCTGAAAAAAAATTATATAAATTTCCGAAAAAATCTGAAAAATTTCCGAAGATTTTTGTTTCCGGGCGAAAATTATTTGTTTTTTTAAAAAACGATGGAAAATATTTATTAAAAATTTTGAAAATTAATTAAAAATTTTTTTAATTTTGATGCTTTTTATCTGTTTGCAATAAAATTTATTTTATTTCAATTTAATTTTTGTTTTCGATGATTCAACAATATGAGTCGAGGTAAATAAATCTAGAAAAATTGCAGTTTTATTTATTTATTCTTCATTTCATTCTTTTTTCTTTTTCTTCTTTTCTTTATTTTATCGTTCGTTTATTTCTTTCGCTTTTCTTCTTTTTCTTTTCTTTCTATTTTTCATTTTTTTTCTTTACTTTTCATTTTTCCTTTTCCATATTTTTCTCATTTTTTTCGCAGAGGAGGGGGGGTGTTCATTTTGTCTTTGATTTGGTTGAAGCCATTTCCAGACTGACATTGGCAAGGAACTGGCGACCATAAAAACCAAGGAGGACTGGCGACGGGATTTCCAAAGAATTTGTAAAATTCGAGAAAGGGTCGGTTGCTTTTTATTTACGGCAGAAAGAGATGGGCGTTGTGGAGAGCCGCAATCGCCTACACGTGGGTCCGTTATAGAGGGTCATATTGGAATTAAAAGGAGTGGTTCAGTTTCGTAATATGAGTCGAGGTAAATAAATCCAGAAAAATAACGAAATGAAATCAGTCAAAAAAATTATGGGTTTCTTTCTTTTTTTTTTTTCCTTTTCCCTTGTTTTTCTTTCTTTTTCTTTTCTTTTTGTTCATTTCTTTTTCTTTCTCTTTTCTTTTTTTCACTATTTTTCTTTTTTCTTTATTTTGTCGTTCGTTTATTTCTGTCGCCTTTTTCTTTTTTTTTTTTTCTTGTTCCTTTTCTTTCTGTTTTTCATTTTTTTTATTTTCATTTTTTCTTTTCCCTGTTTTTGTATTTTTTTTTCACAGAGGAGGGGGGGTGTTCGATTTGTCTTTCATTTGTTTGAAGTAGGTACTTCCCCGAGGGTAAAAAAATTTGTAAAAGTCGAGATAGGTTCGGTTGCTTTTTGTTTATTGCAGAAAGAGATGGACGTTGTGGAGAGCCGCAATCGCCTACACTTGGATCCGAAATAAAAGGGCAATTTGGAATTAAAGGGAGTGGTTCCTCTATTCCAGAAAAGGGTGGGGTTGGGGGCAAATGGAAGAGAGAGAAGAGAAAAATGAACATCACCATCATCATTAATCTGATTAAAAGTGAAGAGAGAAAGAAAATGGCGTC